AAGATCAGAAACAAGATGCGTGGTCAAGGTCAGAAGCCAAGAGGTTTTACCATGAACCAGAAATTGGGGACCTGGAACCAGGAACAAGAATCTGAAACTAGGATCATGGAACCAGAAAAAAGAACCAGGATCAATAATCAGAACCATGATCAGGAGCAAGAACCAGGACACTAGGAGACTGGCAAAAGCACCAGAACACTCAAGCACTACTAAGTGCAGTGCTTGGGTATTTATAGGGAGAACTGATCATGTGACTAGCCCCTACCTCCTTGTAGATAGGCCCCCAGTTGCAATAAAGGATTAGCCAGGACCCACTGTCTATTGGTTGCATTAGGGCTCCTCTCATCTGCTCCTCCAGCACCTCCCCTTCCATCCTGAGAGGCACATTTTGCCTTGATGGCAACATTGCAGAGCCCGGCGACGTAGGAGAACACTAGACCTGACCACAGGGAGCACCGCAGTAGTGATAGCCCTCTCAGTCCCGCTCCAAGATTAAAATCTTGCCTCTAACGACACTTAATCCATTATATAGTGTCTTGTTTATTTAGTATCTGCTGCTTTGTACATTTCAGATACACATTAGTAACTAGGATATTCCCTTGCGGTATAGGAGTCAATTGTCCATTTTCAGCTGAACCAAAACAAAATAAAGAGAGATCAAAAGGGATTCATATATCAGTCCTGATTGTAAAATGCCTCATATGTCTAGGACCTAAATACATTTTTTTTGTTGTTAATGCTATCCCTTTACCAAATCCCCAAATGATATGCCAACCCTATCCCTAATCCAATTTTTATACTAATGCTAACCATAAACCTACTTTAATCTTTCCGCTAACCTTATCACTATCCTAAAACTAAAACAGCATTAACTCTAACCCTGCATTAACATTCACCTAACTCTAACCCTGCACACGCCCTAATCTTACACCTAACACTAACCCTAACACCAGCTGTACCCTAACACTAAGGATATCCACTGCTACTACTAGTGCTGATATAAGCACATGAGTTTCCTTGTGAAAACATTAGAGAGAGGTCTGTGATGGACATATACTGGCTGTTTTCAGCATTACAAGGAGTTATGCTATTACATTATGATCAGTCCTGGGCAGCTGGCAAAATCCCAAACCAATCACAGTTGGCATAGGGCAATGCTGAAAGACACTGCAAACAGCACATTGATCAGACTGGGACATCTAAATGTGGCCTCATCTGACAGATTGGAGCCCCCAATATCTATTCCTGGTCTCCCTTGTGTGATTAGGGATTTAACCCTGCTCACCCCAAAATGTTAGGATGTTTCATGCTGTCCTAATGGATTTAAAGTAAACTCTGTAGAAGCTGGTATGGAACAACCTATCACAGTGAAGGTGTTAAAGGCTCATTTGTTACAACAGAATTATTATATAATTGGTCTTTAAGGGGTTAAGTGAAAACTGAACTTCAGGGCTATACCTTGATTTATTAGAGTCTTATGTTAAAGCTTGTTAGAGCCAGCTAAATGTTTCGCAAAACTTTAATTTACTAGTGTTTGTATCTAATTGGTAACACTGGTGTAGAAAACTCTGAGTGAGTTGAAAAAACTTCATAAATGTACATAAAAGTAGCATATGTATATATACATAACAATAGGAGCAGGGCATTATATTTATTAGATAGACAAAGCAACTTACATGTGGCAATTGGATAGATTTAAACCAAAAATTATACTTCTGCCCTAGGCAGGCATAAGACTGGCTTATCTCCATACCTGTCAATACTTTTTACTGGCCAGCCGCTACTTGATAAAAATACATGTTGCTAATTTTAGTGATCAGTAGCTTTTTAAAGTTTGCCAATTACACAAATAGAGACATAGAGTTACAAAAAGCTGCTACTAAAAATCCAGTGACTAAGAGTTCTCACTATTTTGTAATGGAGGAACTTACTGACTGATTCCAACCCTATCATTACTTTAGTGGATGCTGATAAACCTTAATATTGACTAACAGATAATGCATGTGCAAAATCACGGTTAGTAGAGACAGCAGGTTCTCAGTTTCCGTTTGTTTAAAATAGGGCTACTTGGTGTGATATTGTGGCTACTTTGAAGAATAGTGTATCTCACGATTTTCTATAAGAAATTCAGATTAAATATTTTTCTTGCTCACACTGGTATACAGTAAAAATAAATATGCCACTACTAGGCAAGGTAATAAGTATAAATAATAAATACAAATGAGCAGCCCTTACATCATACTACTCTACAGTATTGTAATTACATCTCTTAAATTGTCATCCTTTATGAATGTTATAGCTTTGAGTTTAATTTGTTTTAAATTGTTTACATTTTTGGATGTTTATTTCTGTATAGATTTTACAAAACATTGACTGCATTCTGCTTCTTAACCATGCCGCCTATTTCCCACCTTCCTAATTTAAAATGCTTTCTTTTTGTCAAAATATTTGTTCCACAATGACATTCAAAATGGTGATATTCATGCGCTACTACAATATTTGCAATTTATAATTATTGAGTTGGTATAGAGCTATATTGTATGGCGTATAAGGACTCTAACATTTTACTTATTAATAACAAATAACAAAAAAGCAACCACTTTTTGTTTAGATTGAGGGACTTACCATTGCATTTCTTATCTCCGCACTCTTGCAGTGCTGGGAAATAGACTTCCTCTCACCTCTTTCTCCACCAACATACAGAGCAACATGCCCAACAGTTCTGACTCCATAGACCAGAATGAAAAGCTCATGACTGGCCAAGAATTTGGTTTTATGTGTGCAGAGCCCAGGACTGATAAGGATACATTCTGGGGATTTTCAGCAACATTAGAAATTGTATTTAAAAAAAAAAAAAATATTAATTATAAATATAATGTAATGCTATTGGTGGATATTCCCAACCTGCGGTATTTTATCTCATTATCCAAAGTAACAGCATTAATTTAATCCGCATCTTTTCAGAAGTTATTGGTTTTCCTCTTTTGACATATAAATGGATAATGTACCTTAATAGCACATTACAAAATCCCCTACATATTTAAATTAAATCAATTAGGGGCAAAGTATCTTTCCAGGAGTGGATATAGCTTATTACTAATATTTTTTCTAATAGTGCAGCATTCTTTCAGATTAAGCTCTCTGGACTATTAACTTTTTAGAATGGCATAATTTCACAGTTCAAGCTCCCGAGGCTAGCTAAAGTCATTAACAGCATGTCCAAGCCATATAGCCTAATAATATCCTCCTAAGCATGTCCAATGTTTGTACAAATTACCCTGTAAAATGACACCTTCCCTGCAACATTATTGTTTTATTTGCAATTTGTTATCAGAGGTTAATTTCTCAGTCGAAGAAGATGTCTGTTTAAGTTTATATATGGATTTACAATTATTCTGTCTTTTCAAAAGGTACAGGGCATTCAGAAAAGTGATTGTGTGGAAAAATAGATTGTAAGATTTTTAAGGGACATTTTTACCTTTTAGAAAAAAAGGAATTTGGATGCAAATAAAGCATCACTGTTCTATGAGATTATAGTTCACCGTCCTGCTGCAATATTTTCTTCCTTCGAGATTTTCCTCCTATATAAGTTACAATGTGTACTTTCTATAGTATTTTGCTTAAAGGACAACTGACAACAGATTTTCACTTCTCATTTATTTTTAAAGTTTATTACATTTAATGAAATGTAATGATTTTTAAATGATCTATATTGATTTGTTTTAGAAAACTTCACTTTTCTTACCTGACTTAGCAGCCATGTTTGGTAAGAATCTGCTGTTATCTGACCACTTGCTGTTTCACTTAAAGCAATTACAGCAGAAGGGAAGTTAGGAGGAGCAGCAGTTGGTTCGATAACAGAGTCTGACTAAACATGGCTGCTCAGTCAGATAAAAAAGTAAAAATGTCTCAAAATATCAATATACATCATTTAAAAAAAATCATTAGGTTTCACTAAACAAAGTACATATAAAAAAATTTTTTATGACAGTTCACCTTTAAATTCATTCATTACACCCAACTTTTTTCTTAATATTATTTTACAATGAAAATTATTTTGTATATTCACCTAGACTAGGAACATTCCTATTCCTGGAGGACCAGAACAAATCAAATCCATGCATGTTGAGACTTGGACAAGAAGATGTAAAACCTGCTGAAGGTGTTATACCATTTACAGTTTTAATCCACATGACTGAATATCTTTCTTATGCTATTAGAACAGTTCTGAATCACTGAAGAAATGGTACAAATTTAAAAGACTATTGCCAACAATAATTTACTTTATTAGTTAAAAGATCATAAAGAAATGCATATATAATTCATCATAAAAATAAATACTATATATAATTGTTTTAGGATGCATTGTTAGTCTTCACCAATTGTCCAGTGCTGCGATCACTGCTATGATGCAGGATTTCAGGTCCCTCTTACTTCCCATCCACTTACTACACGATTGGCCCAGCTGCTTAGGTACACGTCGTCAAGTAGGGTGGACCTACATCATCAGTTTGGTTTCTTAGCCAGCGCATCTCCTCCAGAACTGTGGTAAATATTCCCTTTCTATACTCCCACAGGAAGCAAAGGATTTCCTTGCATGAGGAATATAGTGCTTGTTTAACACACCTATATAATAAAATAGATAGAGAAATATAGGATAGTAGCTTTTTGCTGGATCTTTGACAGGATTAGTATACTCCACCACAGAACCCAGAACGAAGAGTAGAGCATATTACTGGTCCTTAGAGGTGGCCGGAACATAATCAAGAGAGAAAATTGTAAACAAGAGAACAAGCCAAGATCAGGATTACAGGGTTACACAAATATGAGAAGAGTAGCCAATGTGAGTATTACAGAGATACACAGTCAGAAACAAGGCAATATCAAATTGCCAGATAATCACAGTGGGATATAAACAGGCTAATTGGGAACCAGAAGGAAACCATGACAGGACAAGGGCTGGATCAAGATGAGGCAATTATATAGGAAGAGGGGCCTCCCTATAGATCCATCCATGTCCATGGTGCAAGCGCCTGCAGCTACATAAATGTAGACAAGGCAGCATTGTTCTGCATAAGTGATGTCACCAGAACGTGCTGGAGAAGGCTGAGAATGTGCCATGGATGCCAACATTGTTGAAACATGGTGCTGGAGTGACTCATTAGTTGCTGTAATGTGATGACCTTAAAGAAACAAGGATGTGTTGCCTACAATAAGGAAACAAACACCTTCAAAGAGATGAGGAACAACAAGCTGAGTAAAATTACTGCAGGGTTATTTACCACGGTGAGCATAGCCAGGAATTCAAAGTGAATTCAAAATTCAAGGTAAAAATAGCCAAATGGAAGCATTTTTACAGTTTGGGTAATTTGGCCTTAAAAGGACACTATGTCACCTAGACCACTTCATCTCAATTAACTCATCAGGATCAGGGTCCTTTTTAAACCTGCAATGTAACCTGAATAAGAGTAAGGACAGGATAACTATCGAGTTGGAATACAGATTTATATTCCTAACACTATTGTTTTCCTTTAACTTTGAAACTGACTTTTGCCTTCTTTTGGATCAACAGCAAAAACAGGTGTGAGAAAGGCTCAACTTGATGGACATGTCTCTTTGGCCATTGTAACTATGAATTCCAGACAATTCTCAATACAGTAAGCAACCCAATAAGACATCATAGGAAACACACACAACCAAGTTTCTGAGTGATGCTGCTAATTGGGAAAAAAATAGCATGTCCAAAACAAAAACTTCTACTTGGTCTTATATGAAAGGTCTTGTATAAAAGAAATATATTTAATGATGTCAATTTCACTGTTTCCTATATGCTTTCTGCAATTTTCTGCAATTTTCTGCAATTTTCTGCAATTTTCTACAAACAACGCATTCTATATTGTGTAAGCTAACATGGTCCATTAAGGTTTAATTTCTTGAAAACAGTTCTATAACCTGTAACAAATACATGAATAAACAAATAATTCTAATAGGTTTAGTATCCTACAGGTTCAATCACTCAGTTAAATGTATGCTTACCATAATTACATCCTGACCAAACCACAAAATACTCTTCTGTAAAAGCAGTAAAGGTTGTATCCTTTCCACGACATTTGTTAGTTTTTTGCAAACAAGCAGCAACCACATTAAAGGACCACTATAGTCACCCAGACCACTTCAGCTCAATGAAGTGTTCTGTGTGCCAGTTTCCCCTAATTTTAACCCTGCAGCGAAAAACATAGCAGTTTTGGAGAAACAGCTATGTTTACACTACAGGGTTAATCCAGCCTCTAGTGGCTGTCTCTCTGACAGCCACTAGAGGCGCTTTCACGATTTACACAGATGGACCTCACGGACCTTCAGCGTCAAATAAGAGCCTATGCTTTCCTATGTTCGGGTTTGAATGTGCACCCGCCTCAGGCCGCGCATGCGCATTCAGCTTCACTCAGGAGCTGACGTTGGTGGGGGATTAGGGGTCACCAGCGCCGAGGGAGCCTATAGTGCCAGCAAAACAGGTTTGTTTTCCTGACACTATAGGATTTCTTTAATTTTATTTTTGCTCTCCCATCAACCTATAAGAAATCCACAATATTTTTAATTCATATTACCACTGGTGTTTGAGTGATTCAACATGAATATATGTTAAGGCTTTGGGCAATGCCATAATCTTTTATTCTCCCTATTTATTTTAGCTTGTAAATTAACTAGTCAGAGATTGTCCAGTCATGTAGCATATTATAACATAGCTATTTTAAAACTCTAAGTCATTTATTTTTAATTATGTTCCATATTTTACCAGTAAAACTACATTTAAATGTTGTATAATTTATGTTTAAACAGAGACTCAAGTAGAGAAGCATAATTTTGTCTTTAAATCAGCCTGTTTGGCAGTGTTCTCGGCAGTCTTTTTTAAAATAGTTATATGTGTATACATATCGTTTTGAGGTACATATTATGGTATTTTACGCTCAGGCCTCAGGAAAGGGCTCTTTCAATTCTTGAGAGTCACTTCTGCTACTGTATTAATATTAAATAAACCATTTTACCACTACAGGTTAATGTGGCAGTTACTATACTTGTGCATGAAAAAATAAATACAAATAAACATAGTTTTGGCCACTTCATCTGAAAAGTTGTGTTTTCAAACACAATAAGCTCACTCTGTCAGCAGTGCTATAGCTATGCATGCTTATTTGCTCTAATAGATTGTGAGAATTTAGGCTTTTTGAGTGATTTAGTCTCTCATTTTACTTTAACTCTTCAGCATAGGTGAATCACCATTGACCATATTGGCACAGAAATAGTGCAGCCTCACTAAAAGGGATAATGCATAACCACATCCTCAAATATTCCAGTGCTCAAAACTTATCATTAAATGCCATTGCAATATTTGAAAGGATGGTAAACTAAACTTTCATTATTGTGATATCTCTGGCTAAAATGGATAAGTTGCTAAAAGGGTCTTCTTTTGATAGTATATCATTGTTCCTTTTTCTGTTAATGTTCTACAGTGCCATTTTATGGAGAACACAACGTGGAACAATGGGGCACAGGAAAAATACCAGAATTGTGCTAGCAAAAACCTTTACTGTAGAATCCAGAAAGTACTTTCTATATTTAAATAAGTACCAATATTTTTGTTCTATAATTGGTATATTACAGAGTGATGTTATTATGGAATTACACAACATTATAGTATTTGAATGGATGATAATGAAATAAAACCTCCTCATTCTGATATCTCACTGTTCATACCCCTTGAAGATGGTTTAATGAAAACCTGAAAGACTTCCCTATAGTCTTATTGAACCATAGCTGCTACATTAGTGGTTATGGGGGCCAGGGTGTCCCTTTAACATTACTATTTCTGGAATTTCCATGAGTAATCGATGCATCACATTTGTTTTGAGACATACTCAACGTAATTAAGTGTTTTCACCAGGACCACACCAGAAAAAACTAGCAGCTGTTTTATTTGTTTACAGTATAACAAAAATAAGCATTTAAACATAAAGGGACATTGGCCAAGGGGCTTAACTGTTTCTCTATTAATGGTCAATATCAAAAGCACTTTTTGTAAAATAACTACATCAATAGATAGATTAAAATAAGCCTGCAGTGCATACTTGCTGTTACACATTTTACAGACTATTGATGATATCATATTTAATTCCATTAAAATTTATACACTGTAGCAGAGCTCATTGTCTCCAGTTATTATCCGAACATTTTAATATTTAAACCTGCCAGAGCAGTAACATAGAGCATCTGTGTCTGTGTGTATCTGTTAACTTTATGCTTACACCTCTAATTTGTATTCTCGCTCAACTACATGCTGTAGTCTATTTTTTTGTTTCATTGTATATCAAGTATAAAAAAACAATGCTGCTGATTCAAAATTGTAAGCAGTTGGGATAATACAACATATATATGTGCTCACTGTAACCTAACATTTTTAGAAAATGTAGCTTCTGTTCAAAAAGATGCATACCTATCAAAGTTAATTTTGTTCTGTTTAACGTGTGTGTGTGTGTATGTATGTATATGTGTGTGTGTGTGTGTGTATATATATATATATATATATATATAAATTCCAAAAAAATACCGTCACTCTGGGAATTCCCAAAAAATCTTCTTTTATTCAAGTCAATCCAGGCTGACGTTTCAGCTCCACATTGGAGCTTACATCAGGACATAATCACAAATACATGACTTTATATAGGAGAAGGAAATACAAAATTACTCACTAAATCAGCTGTTCCCGGTCCTCCTAATTGCTCATCATGTGCAGATTGGCCGGGCGCATGCTCAAGAACTTCCAAGTCACGCCTACAAGTGCTGGCTTCGGGAAAGAGTTGAAGAGAGCGTTCCGGCTGCATCATGTATCAATAGCAAACCGAGATGCCTCAATCTCATTGGTTGCTATGTGTGTACGCATGTCGTCAGGAGAGAAACTCTTCCCAGCTCAGTAGGCTCCTCCTCAATGTGACTAGGTCTCTGTCAGGTCACCATGGCAACCTGAACATGCCATCCATGCAGGATAGGAAGGGGGAAAATATCAATAGTGGACATAAATATATTACAGATATAAACATTGCAGTCCGTAAGCAGATAGCCTCAAAGTCATCCAGCAATACTAAGGTGCATCATAAGTATATAGCACTATACAAATAAAGTGCAATCAGATTCAAAGTGTGATGTGTAAGCAAAAAATAATTAAGGGAATAAAGAATAATGATAAAGTGCCATTGTGATAGAAAAGAGGGTTATTATCTCATCCAACAAGGTTAAAGTGCATGATTATTCAACAAAAGTGCCATCAAATTCAAGGTGCAATATATAAATAAAGTGTGATGATAATAGAGGAAAAACATTTACCCCCTTCTAATGTAGGTGTCTTATTAAAAAATGACAGTGGTGCTTATTACTCTATGAAAAATATATTCATACAAATATCAATGAATAAGAGTGCAAAAAACAAAAACAAAGTGCTGATCAAAAATAGTATTAAAGGTCCTGAAGTAAGGAAACATAAATTCATTAAAATGATTAGAATCCAGTGCTAGCTGGATAAATATGCAATATGTGCAAGGAGAGCTAGAGGTTGATGAAGATAAGAAGAGTGCAAAAAGGTATTCCTGAGACTATATATTAAATATTAAATTATTACAGTCACATATATAAAATAATTTTAGTATTCAAAAGCTAGGTGGAAAAAAGGTGATACATTATAAAAAGTTATGTTTCTCTAATGGTACTCAAAAAATGAAGTTCATGAGACAGAATGTTGTGACTTCTAAATTGAAACATAAGCAACAGGGTTCTTAAATTTATAGAAAATCCATAAAGTGTCTCAAAGAAACTGAGTTTTTCATTTAAACCTTTCGGTGATAATGTATGTAACTCGAAAATCCAGAATGTCTCACGGTGTAATAAATAAAAATAAATAAATAAATAAAAATACGTCCCGGGTCTCCTCCTCTGGCTGCAATGGGGACACGATCGATTGCTAAACATCTTAAAGAGGACAGTTGGTGTTGATTCTCAAGAAAATGTCTGGCTCCATCATGGTAGGCTAGTTGGATACTTGATCTGTGGCTCCTTATTCTCTCACAGAGAGCTGTCTCTATTTTTCCAATATAGTTGAGGCCACAAGGGCATGTGAGTTTGTAGATC